GGTTTCACGGGCTGTGTTTGTGACTGGGTCATGCGGGTTTCACGGGCTGTGTTTGTGACTGGGTCATGCGGGTTTCACGGGCTGTGTTTGTGACTTCTTTCTTAGGACAAGGTGTCTCAACTGGAAATGGAATTGGAAGAAGAAAGAAACAACTCGGATCTGTTGTCGGAGAGGATCTCTCGGAGCCGGGAACAGGTATCGTACTATAGTTGAACGATCAATGGATTGTCCTGAATGAAAAAGGAAGTGTGAAGGGATAAGTGAGGATTCAGCCAGAGGAGGAAGACAGTTCATGCCCCATGGAAAATGTTGGACAATGAGTAGTCTTCACCTTAATGAGCCTCTGGGAGGGAGGTGTGGTAAATAACAAAAAGCATAAAGTGGAAGTTTCCAGAGCGGTCATGGGTAACAAACTATTAACCATGATAAGCAAAATGCTTTCAGGGCCGAGGCTGTAAGTGTTGTTGATTCAACAAGCAACTGTGTAAATTTTGGTAGCCAGAACTATGTTACATGCAACGGAAAGTAAATCGTATGATGCTGTCTTTTCCTTTAAGAACTTACAAGCTGACTAGCCATACATACACCTATGAAAGAGTCACAATACAGTAACAGTACCTTCCAAGTGTATGCGTTTTGTGGTTTGAAAGGAGTTCCACTTAACATTTGATCCTTACAACGATGCTGTGAGATAGTCAGGGACGTTGTCCTCACACTGTAGATGATGGAGCTAATTTTCTAGACTACACTCAGTATCACCCCAAACTTTTAGATTTTGTTTCCGTTTTTTAATTAAGAAAAGGTTCTGAGCAGTTAAAGGTTCTGCCCCAAATGCTTGACAGATAAAATATGGAAACATTCTGAGACAAGAATTCAGAACACTGAGGGGAGTTCTGAAGAGACTGGGTTTGTATTCACTAATCCCAGCCCTTTACTGATGTGGGACCTGGGGATCGTGTAGAAACTTCTGGCAGTGTGAACCTTCAGGGGCCACTTCCTCAGTTGTGTGTGTAATGTCTGCAGATGGCTGTGGAGGAGGCATCTACAGAGACATTGAGAAAGTGCTTCCCTCCTTTTCCATAGTAATCACTCATCCCTGGACTAGACCAGTTGTCTTGATGACGGTCATGTTGACTTTAAATGATTGAAGTATGACCATCGTTGGACACTTCTTATTTAAAGAATGGAAACAAAACTTAAAAATCTTGGGATGATGCTGAGTGTAGTTTAGGAAATCATCTGTATCAAGGATTAAAATGAAAACGTGAAATAAAAGTAATTTGGGCAGCAGCTTCCCAATCCAAAGGGACACCTTTGTCTGGTCTTGCTTCTGCTTATACACACCCAGCTTTCCACCATCTCAGGGGTCCAAGAACTGGAGGTTCCAGTTGGTACGGTTAACGCCGTTGTGCACTGGTAGCAGCTGGTGAATGTTAAAGATGAATCACTGGCCGCCTTTTCCATCAGCCATAGTTTCCCCGTGGACAGGTTCTTTTCAGAAAAGTAAGATACTTACGCTGCTTTGCTCCTGAGAGTGAAGGAAACTCAACCCTCGGCTCCATCCTTCTTCATCGCTTGCATGTTCCAGAGCTGTGCTGATGGCTTTCCTCTGGAGAGGCTGCAGCCTGTGCATCCTGAGCTGCAGAAGTTTAGAGAAGGACCTTCGTGAAAGCCAAGAGCCCAGATAGAGATCCTAACGTTTACAGCTGGGCCCTAATAGATTCTTATGAGGTCTGCCTTTTCTGACTTGACTCACGGGTATAAAAGCTGTTTTGTTAGGACTGCCTGCCAGTTTCACTGAGTAGCCAAATCGCCATGGACATTTCAGGATCTGCTAAGCTTTCGTGATGACAGAAGAGGTGACTGTGACTTAGTTGTGCTGACGCTTCCTGTGAATCATGCAAGGAGGGAGGGTGGGGACGTAAGCCATCCTGTCAGTAATGGGGCAGTAACAACAGCCTTCCAGTCCATGTTTCAGACCAAAACCAAAACACAGGAGAAGGTGGTTGTCTTCTCGGCTCTGCTGTGGCGCAGCACTAAGGGAACTGGGATAGCTGGTCCCAGAATTGCTCCGGGCTCCTTCTCTTTCCTCTCAACTGAGCACTTCGATCATGGGGAGTAGAACTGTTCTCTGTGATGTGGTCAAGGTCGAAGATACTTCCACTGAGCTAAGCCCTTGAAGTAAGCCCGGGGGAAATTAAGGGAACCGACTTACTCTCCTGGAAAGAAAGAGCCCTGGACTGCCAGTTCTGGTGCTGGTTCCCACACCAGCTCCTCACAGCTCCAGGAAAAGTCCAGCCTCTCTGGGTCCGGTCTCTAAAATCTATAAACATGACAGTATTGGCCGGGGAGATTTCTACATTCTGACATTGAAATGCTGTGAGGAGATTTTATAAAACCGGAAGCGTCAGATTCGTCCCTTCATTTTCCCCATCCTCTCCCTGTGTCTGAGTTATACACTTAAAAAGATGAGCTTCACTGATGTTGATAGCCTCGTTCCACCTGTTAGCTCTATTTTGCTATTCTGTTCCCTTTTTTCTCACTGTATTTTCTGAGGTAGGGAGGGTAGAGCCTAGTGTTTGTTATAAGTGGAAGAATTGAGCATCTCGTTCAAATTGACAGGGGAATTGGTAAAAAACAGTAGCAAAAACAAAAGAAAACTAGAAAGCCCCGAGATTAAATGACGTCTCCTGAGTGAGCCTCCAGGACCGCTCTTCTGGCATTTGCTGCCTGCCTTAGTCATTTAGGGCTGCTATAACAGAAATATCACCAGCGGGTGGCTTTGACAAAGAGAAATTTATTCTCTCACAGTCTAGGAGGCTAGAAGTCCAGATTCAGGGTGTCAGCTCCAGGGCAAGGCCTTCTGTTTCTGTCGGCTCTAGGGGAAGGTCCTTGTCATCAGTCTTCCCCTGGTCTAGGAGCTTCTCAGCGCAGGGACCCTGGGTCCAAAGGACGTGCTCTGCTCCCGGCTCTGCTTTCTTGTTGGCATGAGGTCCCCCTGTTTCTCTGCTTGCTTCTCTCTTTCTTATCTCAAAAGAGATTGACTTAAGACACAACCTAATCCTGTAGACTGAGTCCTGCCTCATTAACATAACTGCCTCTAATCCTGCCTCATTACCATCATAAAGGTAGGATTTAGAATACACAGGATAATCACATCAGATCACAAAATGGTGGACAGTCACACAGTACTGGGAATCGTGGCCTAGCCAAGTTGACACACATTTTTGGAGGGCACAATTCAATCCACGACACTGCCTCCTGATCTGTGAGGGAGGGTAGAAAAATGGGTTGACCAGATACCCGCCTCACAGAAAGGCATTTGATTCTCATTCACAGTTGACATTAATATGAGACTTACTTCCTGCCTTTAAAATGAAGGCAGCCCCCTGCTCCAAGGGGAGGTCCCTGGGTGTAGACAGACGGGCCTGCTTCTGAAGCTGTTTCAGTCCAGCTGGGTTAACCTCTAGGGTCATATGCTTGCTGCTTTCCTGCCAGAATCAGCAGGAAATGGGAAACCTCCAAACCTCCCTCATCAAATGCTAACCTTGTGATACCCCCTTAGGAAGGGACTTCTCAAGAACAGGAAGTAGTGCCCATCTGTTACCTTTAACACGGACGCCCCTGGCCAGCTGTGACTAGGCACTATGAAGACAAAGGGCGGGAAATGGCATTTTTTAGATTTTGCTCTTTTTTAAAATTAAAGAAAGGAGAGATTTATACCTCTGTACTTAAACTCTGGGTTCTCACTAATCCTCTTCTGAATCTCTGCTTCCCCTAAACATCTCCCGGTCTTTTTTCTAGTCTTAGGGAGAGGGCTTCACTGAAAAAGTCAGGAAAACGAACCAAACCAAACCGGTTTTCCAGCAATGTTAGCGAACGACAGATCCTTCTGGCAGACTCGGTTCATCTCCCCAGACTCTCACCTAATGGAGAGGCGTGAGGCCCAGAGCCACCTGGTCGTCTGGCCAGAGTCACCTGGCCAGTTAGTTGCAGACCTGGCCTTCGGTCTCGACACCCAAGACAGTGTTTCATGCGCGAATGCTTGGAAAACATGATGAATGCCTCCGAAGTGCAGAGCAAAACGTGAGAACTGAGTCATGCCCCCAACTGGGTGGAGAACTAATAACGAAAAGGAGGACATACTCATACTAAACGCCAGGTGAAAGAGTCAGGCAGCAGATGAGGGAAAGAGCGTCATAGCAAGGGTGATACGGAAGAGTTCTTAGAGAAGGGTGGACCTGGAGCCGTCTTTGAAGACAGAGTGCGAGTTAGACAAACTAAGAGGAGTGGCAATGGAATTCTAAATAGAATGAATGGCGTGAGCAGGGCTTGGGAGGTATGGATATATGCAGCATTTTGAGGAGTAATGGAGGACTAGTGTGGTTGACCGGGTTTCTGTTCGCATAAGGGAATACGGGAGATAAGTTTGGAGAGCTGGGTTCAGGGTTTTGAGTCGATGCTATCCTGAAGGCCGTTGTGGAAGGCTGTTGAGCAGAACAGTGGATTGTGCACCATGACAGATGAACGTGGCGAGAGGGTATAGTAAGAACTGGAAGGGTATAAGGACTGGAGGACAGGAGAAGCAATTGCTGAGATCAAATAGTCCATCTTTCCATGCCCCAGGTTCCTTCTCTTTCTCGTGCTTACATTCGACACTAATAAATGGCAGCCACATTGTGTGTAAGCTCTCGGCCTTTCTGACCTTTCTTTTCCATACGTGCTCAGGAGATCATTATTCAGGCTGATAGATTCAGGGAACCCTAATTGAGAGAAAAGTTTTGCAAACCTTTTGGATGCTTGGATTTTGTTTTTAGATGTGGCTAATACAAGGAAGAAGGGATGGATCTGGATTTGATAAAATGGTGTCTTCTTTAATAAACCAGAGATGAGCAGTATTTTTTATCTCACCCAAGTATGATTTCACCTTATACAGAAAGGTTTGACTTACAAATTGAAGGAAAAGTCCATAATAGTGGCTATTTGACTGCCTTTTGGTCTATTTAAATCCAGAGAAATCCTTTTTGCATCTCTTTCTCCAAAAGTCATATTTCCATTGTGACAATTACCATCCTTGCTGAAGACTCTGAGTGCCGGGTGCTGTGCCACCAGCTGGGATGCATCTTCTATTTTCACCTGGAACCTCTGATGTGGATCCTCATTTTACAGGGACAGTCATGTGACTGCCTGGCTCA